CATGTAGTGGAGCAGCTATAGTTGCAAAGTCCTTCACAAACTTCCGGTAATGGGTACTGAGACCCAAGAAACTTTTTAACTCTCCCATATTGTCTGGTGTTGGCCAATCACACACTGCTTTCACCTTGTCAGGATCAGTTCACACACTATGCTCATTTACAATGTGACCCAAGTAAAGCACCTCTTTCTAGAACAAGTGGCATTTCTTGGGATGGAGTTTGAGGTTTGCTGCTTTCAAATGCTTGAATACTTCCTCTAGCCAGGACATTTCCTCATCAAACATTGTTGCAAATACAATGACATCATTCAGGTACACTAGGGCTATCCTCCATTGTAGGTCTTCCAGTACTCTTTACATCAACCTCTCAAATGTTGCTCTAGCATTGCTAAGCACGAATGGCATCACATGGTATTGCCAGAGATCTTGGCCAGAACTAAATGCAGTCTTAGGTTTATCTGCTTCAGCCATTTTCACTTGATGGAAACCCAACTTTAAGTCCAGAGTTGAAAACCACCTGGTCTCCACTTAGGGCATCAAGAGTTGCATCAATTCTTGGCAGTGGATATGAGTCTTTTTCAGTTACACTGTTAAGAGCCCTGAAGTCCACACAGCAACATTGGGTCCCATCCTTCTTCTGGACTAACACGACGGGAGCTGAGCAAAGACTATCTGATTTCTCGACTATCCCTCCTTTAATTAGGCCATCCATGACCTTCTCCATCTCTTGTGGTTTTGCCAGAGCTATTCTCCTTGGAGGTATCTTTATTGGATGGTGATTGCCTGTGTTTATTCTGTGCTACACAAGGTCATGATCTCCTTTTGAAAAGATGTCTGCATAATTCGCCAAAAGTTCCCAAACCTGAAGATGATGACAAATAGACTATGCTCTTCTTATAGAGGTCAGTTAATTGTTCTGGGAGAGAATGTCCTTTCTTTATGGTTTCTTGCCTTACCATTGACTAGCACTACCTCCTGGCACACATCCAACAATGCCCCTTCCTTAAGTGTCTGCTCACACTTATAGAAATTAGCCACAGTTATGGGTACTACTTGATGACCTGCCACAAGTGACCTTCCAATCTTCAAATCTGCTGGCTTGAATGGGTCTTCCACTATTTCCCCAAGCATCGGGCTTCCTTGGGGATGTTCTTTTACTCTACCCCAAATTATCTTCTCTGACACAGGGGTATTGTAGTTGACTTAAGTACTGTGACATACAAATTAACAGATGTTGCAACACTTACCAGAATTTGGCCCTTGTTGTACCCAAACGTCATTTTATCAAAGTTAACTACACACTTCCTCGATACTAAGTAGTCCAACCCTAATATGCATGGGCATTCAATGTCAGCCAAGTATACTTTGTGTCTGTACTTTATGCTCATAAGCTCAATAGTTACCTACACTGGTCCCCACAACCTTGCAGAATGTCCTGTCACACCACAAAGCTTCTGTATGGCTTCTGGTACTCCTTTGTGAGCTAGCACTTTGATACTCACAAGAGTTTGCTGAGATGCAGAATCTTTGACAAAGTTGCACTTTTGGCCATCCAGCTTTCCTGACACGTAGACACTATGTGTGATTGCCATTTTACACTTAGCTGTTGGGACTTTCACAATGGGGGTTGGTGGGCATCCCTCAACACTAACCACTACTGGTTTCCATGAGGCTGACTTATTGGTGGTATTCTTCTTACACTGGCTCTTTATATGTCCTTGCTCTCCACAGTTCCAGCAACCTTTCTGGGTAGCAACCTTTCTTGCCGTGGCATCTTTCCTGTGTTGAAGTTGCCGGCAATGAGCTCTCTTGTGCCCAGGTTTGTTACAGTGCCAGCAAAATCCCTCAAACTTCCCTGAAAGCTGCCCCTTTCTGGCCTTGAATCCTGATGACCGTACCAACCTTGGTTCCTCTGTGCTGGGCTTAACGTGGGAATCAAATTCAAGAGTTCTGACCATTGTATCCTCCATAGTAGAGGGATGTGCTTGCTTTACTTGTATCTTTGGTTGTGGACTGTCTAAGGTGTCTACAAACTGATCCCTTGAGGACATCAGGTGGTGCAGTTGGGTAGGCCTTGTGTGACATACTTTCCAAATCCTCTGCCAGCTCTTGCAGGCTCTCCCCTTTAGCACAGACTCTAGTCCTAAACCTAGCCCTGTTGACTTTGGACTGATTTTGAGTTCCATACCTGATTTCTAGAC